CCCCAAAACCCCAAAACCCCAAAACCCCAAAACCCCGAAATCTTCATAAATTAAATAAAATGGAGCAAAAGTTAAGAAACAGAAGAGGGTATTCTAAAGTTAAATTGAAACCAGGTCCGAACAAGAATTTGGGGATTGGAGGAAAAAATAAATCTAAGAGTAAGAACCTCAGACCTAGCACAGCTAGAATCCGAACTATTAAGTAACTTTTACTTCTAATTCATCTTTAGTGCATCAGGATCTGCGTATAAGTTTTATACCATTGACCAATACAAGTAAGGATATAGATATTGATGTTTAGGAACATTAATTTGATGTTTTCAGGATCTAAAATTAAACCAAAAACTAGGAACCAGAGCGAGCAGATAACTCCTATGTAAGTTTAATGTATAATTTTTCATAGAAGGGGAAAGAAAGCTCAGATAAGAGCAACAAACACTCAAGTTGGTCCCCATGGAATTGAAAATGACATAAAGCCAGCAATTTTGAATAGTCATCAAAAGCCTCATCACAAAATATGTAAATTTTGGTCATCTAGTGTAGATCCAAACCACATCCGTGCACAACAGTTAAATGGAAATCTTACAGAAATAAAACCCCGCAGGCCTGTGACAGCCACATACAGGAGGATTAAGAACACAGGGGAAGGCGGGATAAAGCATCAATTAAGGTTCTCGTTCAAGTAAGAATTCATATTATTCTTAGATTCGAAAATGAAAATAATGAGAGCTTCTCATGTACAGGATCTCCTATCAAAGGAACTGAAGACGATGTGCCACAAACGTTTCAGCATGAATTCCCTAGCCAGATGTTAGAGGATTCAGAAGAAGTTAAGAACGAAGTGATTCCTCAGAACAACAATGGAGTGTCTCAAGATCTCATTGCACAAAAGGGTTTTGTTACTTCTTAAACTTTAGACATTGCATTAGTATCACCAGAGGAAAACATGCAGTTGAATATTGGTATTACTGATCCCCAAGAAGTTGAATGCAAGCCTCATAGAACTTTAAAATAAGCTTGAAGATAATGATTCAAAATTTATGAATTATATCCCAGAGGAGAAGATAACTCCAACCAGTATGGCCTATTATAAGAAAATTCGAAGGCCGCAATCTGCTGTGGCTATCCCAGAGCAGTTTAAACATAAAGCTGATGTCCAGATTGGGTCTAGTGGTGCTAAGATATCAAAATAAGATTAAGCCCAAAAATCAAACGAAGAAAAGACAAGAAAAGCCAAGAGTCAAATATGACATCAACACTATTCTTTCCAATCGTTCTCAGTCTATGAAGATTAAAGAGGTTTTTATGGGGACTTCTTCGAAGTAAGCGAGATATAACAAACACTTAATTCCTTCAGCTTTATCAGAGATTTTATTAATTCTTAAGGACTTTGAAATATTTCATATAGAATTTCTGATTTGATCTCAATTCATGAAAAAGAGAAAGTAACTAAACTATCTTCCATGACTAAGGAGCAATACCATGACTTCCTCCTTGGCAAGTTAATGGAACTGGAGGCATTCTTGGCTCCTGAGAACCATAAGAGATGGTATCGTGAGAAGAACCCTGAGTTGACCAGCTCTTTGATGAGATCCCAGATAAACATGATAAGAAATGCATTAGGAGCTGATATAGTTAAATAATTCATGAGCAATCTTCTTTTCAGCTACTTCATGTATTTTTGATCCGAAGAATTATATAATTTCAATCAAAATAGCTCAGCTGGGGTTTTGGGGTTTTGGGGTTTTGGGGTTTTGGGG